AAAGGGGGGGGGGGAGGCTGTAAACATGTAAATACCCCATTAAAAATAAAAAGAAAAAAGAAAAGAAAATAAAGCGAGAGGTAGCGGGTCCGGCGGGCGCTGTCGGCGGGGCGCCAGGGCTTCTTTTTGGGGGGCATTAATTTGGGATGTGTATGTCCAGGAAGCTCGAGGAAGGGGGAAGTAGGGGGCGATGCTTGGAAGTAAGATAAAATGAAATAAAGAACAATCACAGCGCTTATGGAAATCTGCTCTTTGGGGCGCAGTCCGAGGGTCTCCCCCATGACAGCCGTGTTAGACAATCCACCCTTGGAGGGGTCCTCAAGAGGTCCCCCCTCGTCGCTTGCTGTCCCCCGTGATGTGCTCTTTGCCTCGCTTATAGCGCTGCCCGCGGGGCTGCGGCAGGCGAGAGCAGCATGGCCCGGCCACAGCGGTGACAAGGGGGACCCGGAAAACCCGGAGATAAGGAAGACAGCAGGGATAAGAAGAAGACCAGGGAGAGTGAGGACAGCAGGGACACCAGGGATGATGGGGCCATCAGGAAGGATGGGGAGATAGGGGATGATGGGGACACCAGGAATGACAGAGACACCAGGGAGCATCACGGGGACACCAGGGACAATGCGGGCAGCAGGGATAATGGGGCCACCAAGGACCACGGGGTCACGAAGGACCAGGGGGCCACCAAGAATCATGGGAACACCGGGGACAATGGAGACACCAAAGCAGGCGAGGCGGAGGTGAGGGAGGGAGGTGTATGGGGGGTCCACGCTTTATTTCATTTTTTAATTATTTTTTTTATTGCAACTTCTTCCATCCTTCCCCCTCCGCCTCCCCCAGGTGCTCCCTGGTACCCGATGCACACTCGCTCGCGGAAAAAGCGCAAACCCTACTCCAAACTGCAACTCGCCGAGCTGGAAGGGGAGTTTATGGTCAATGAATTCATTACTCGCCAAAGAAGGAGGGAGCTCTCAGACCGATTAAACCTGAGTGACCAGCAGGTGAAGATCTGGTTCCAGAATCGACGCATGAAAAAGAAAAGACTCCTCCTGAGAGAGCAAGCCCTCTCTTTCTTTTAAAGTTGCAACAAAAAAATATAAGCTTTCGTGTAGGTTAAGCCACACAGAGCTGCCGGGACTTTAATACTTCCCCCTTTTCCCAAGCCCTCCCAACCCCCCTAAGAAATAAAGGAATAAAGGAATACTATTGATAAATAAGCGGTTTCCCTTAAAAAAATACAACCCAACAGCGAGCAGATAAAAATGAGAATGTGCAACTGTCACCGTGCGCCTGCCTGGGGGCAAGCGGAGCGACTGCGACCGGCGACCGGGCGGGTGGCTTATATTTCCGGCGGCGCCCCTCACCGTGGTCTCTGGGCTGCAAGGGAGTTTTGAGGGCGATTTAAGCAGCTTGTCCTTGGCCGGCGGCGCAGGTAGGGTCTCCGTACAGCGCCGTGGGCAAAGTGTGGTGGGGTGCGCGTGTGAAAAATCCCCCCACGTCTTCCCCCTAGCCTCGGTTGTTACTTGGTTTTGAGTGGCCAGAGCGGTTTTGTATTTTCTTTTTTATTTTTTAAACATTTTTAAATGGTTTGAGTTTAAATGGGTGGAAAAAGGCGGGAGAAAAAATAGCATTAAAGACTAGCAAAATGGAGCGGAAGAGGATGTGTTGCCTCTTAAGTGAAACTCTGATGGAAAATACTTTTCTTTTTTTTTTCCAGTGCTACGGGGTTGCACCGACATGCTATTTTTCAGTGTAAATCGACAGTTTGCTGTTCATTTAGGGCAGAGGCTTACTCGGTATCTCTAGCAAGAAGAGAGAGACAAAGGCCGGGGATGTGCACGGTAGGGATGATATATATCTATAGAATAGGAGGCCCGTGTGTCACACTGCGTCCCTATATTTCGAGGTGGCCGCTGGTGCCTGACTTTGATCCAATGTCAGTGCTGGAAAGAAAATACACACAAACGCCCACATATAGGGAAATTCCTTCTGGGAAAATCCCATTATTTATTTTAGTATTTCTTATATATATATTTGCCATGTGACGGTAACAGCGTGTAACAGCCTATTAGAGCGAATCACATCTTTTCTGCCCCGGGAAACTTCCAAAGAGGAATTTTATCGCTATTTTCTCTATGAAATTAGAAACTGGGTAATTTTAAGGCGATATTTCTGGTGTGATTAGAGGAAAAGATAACCCGGGATATTCCCATCTTCTCCCTTTCCCATCGGGAATAGCCCAAAGGAAGACTTACAAGTTTCTCCCAGGAGTAAATTTTTCTTTAGCATCCTGGAAAAGTCACGTTCTGTCTTTAAAGTATTTGGGGAGCAGGAGGAGATATTGTTCGGCTCCCCATGTCTTGCTTCTCCCTTTTCCGGTCAATAGGGAGAGCTTGATGCATTTTCTTTGCACATGTGCTCTCATTTTCTGCAGAAAAAGCACCCAATTTGGGAAATCCTCCAGCAGATGTGTGTTCAAGGTGTTGGTAGGTGGGGGAAGCGGGTAGAATGGTGGTAGGAAAGTGGTGGCAAGGGACAGAGGAGCAGGTTGAGGACCCAGGAGATCTTTCCCAGCTTGACAAGTACGAAGTCAGGATAAAATGAGGTGCCGTAACCTGGAGTTTCCCCTGGGCAGGCATTGCTTGCATCCCGTTTTTACCTCTGTGGGGTGATTTTGGGGGGCAAAGCAGGGTTTTGAGAGCTGTCTGGATGCTCACCACGTGCTGCTGCTTCCCCGCGTTCACGGTCACGACCAGCCGCGGCTAGGAATGTTTTTATTTACGAGCTGCAGAGGACGGAGACGACTCCTTTAAAATGCCTCCTTGGGCAAGGAAATTAAAAAAAAAAAAAAAAGAGCCTTTTCCGTATGGAGCATCCAGGAGCCTTTACTCGCGTGCCACGTTCACCCTTTCCCAAATTCCCGCTTGCTTTCTCCACTATTATTTTGCTTCTTCTCCTTCCTTTAACCTTGGGAATGTCATGGATTTTCCTCCGGTTGCTTTTGCAAGGGAAAGACACTCCTCCGTGCAACCATCACCCCATACCTCTTTCCTCACTGCTTGTATGCGAGGATCACTTTTTAGCCGAGAGGAGGGCAATGCCTCTTGCAACGTTGTGCAATAAAGCCTGGGTTATATTTTGTAGAGATATATGTATATATATACCCATCTGTGCTTCAGTTGAACCATGTGCAATGAAATGAGGAAGGAAATGGGGAGGAATCGAGTTTATGGGGAAGGGGGATTGGAATCTGGCAGCTCGGGTGTAGCTTTTGTGAGGAGAGGGTGCCTTTTCGGGGTTCCTGGCTCCCACTTGTCCCCTTGAAGCCGTGTAGTGTCCTGGGAGGACCCAGAGAGCCTCAAGCTGCTTATTTCCACGAGAAGGGACCAAAATCCACTTCAACTTGACTTAGCCAAACCCAGACGCGCTCGTCTCTTTAATCTC